CATTTAGAAAAACTATAAAATTAGAAGAAAATACAAAAGTTAGGGGAAATACAGAAAATTAGAAAAAATAAAAATTGCAGGAAAAACAAAAATTATAATAAAGCAACAAAATGCAAATAAATAACAAAAGTACAAGAAAACCAAACATAAAAAATGTAGGAAAATTACAAAAACTGATAGATTGTTTTTGATATTTTTAATACGAGAAAACAAAACGTAAAAATGTAGGATTTTTTTTTGAAAGAGGTTTCCATCATTTTTTAAATAATTAGAAAATTTAAAAAATATATAGAAAAATATAAAAATTATTTTGAAAAAAATATATTATATGCGACGAATTTCTTTTACAATCCCAGATCTGTCACGATGAACACATATCTGGAATTCTGGATTTAAACCAGATCTGGTGTGATCTCTTTGATTTTTGTCTACGAACCCAGATCTGTGTTTGGGAACCCAGATCTGAGTTCTACCATGGCAGAAAACATCTCCGATCCATCTGTGTCGATCTGGGTTCTACCATGGCAGAAACCTCTTCGATCTGTGTCTGTGAACTCAGATTTGGGTTCTACCATGGGGGAAACCTCTCCGATCTGTGTCTGTAAACCTAGATCTCTTTGATCTAGGTTCTACCATGGCAGAAAGAGTGGAGAGATCTGCTATGTGAAGCCAGACCCCTAACCCTTTTTCTCTAAAGTTTTGACCCTTCTTTTATCCAACTGACCCCAACCCATCTTGACCCTAATGGGTACCCTCGACCCAACCCATCCTGACTCTTTTCTCCTGACCCTAATGGGTCATTCGACCCTTACCCACTAATAGTATGGGTGGGTTGGGTGGGCAAATGGGTTGGGGTCAAGATTGCCAGCCCTAGTCACCTTGAGCTCTAGTATCACGTGCTGATATTGATAATCACAAATAGACCAAAGAAGTTGCAGAGTTTCTATAATACTTCTTCGAAAATTAGAGCTCTCAAAGAAAACACCAGACTTGGCTAAATAAGGACTGGAAGATGTCCTAATATACCAACCAGATCAGATTTCCTTGCCCAAATGACCCTTTGATCTTCTTTCTCATATAAAAACGATCTGAACTCTAAAAGCTCAAGTCTAGATTCCACCTGGTATGAGAGAGCCAAAAGAAAATCCAAATCTGATGTTACTTTTTCCTAGTTTCCGAAAGAAGCCACGAGAAGCAATATCACCCCTTTCAGAGTCTAGTAAAATTCTAGAAAAATGATGAAAAATACTCACATATATTCTTCATTGAATGGTAAAAGTCCCTAACAGATTGCTTCATAGATTCAAGCACTACAGATATGTTGTCAAAATCTTACGATTTACGATACCATTCACGATTTGAATCATGGGAGACTTTTTTAAGCCCTTAATAGAAAATGATTTATTTACATTATTCAAGACTAGAAATTGAGTTTATTTTCTATCATATGTAAATTAAAAGGTCATTGTGTGTAGATTTGTTTGATTTTCAAGTCAAACTTTATTATATCATCTTAGGCTTCTATTGTATAAGTAGTAAGTTCTGTTGTTTTAAGTACATATATGGTAGATACGGATTAAAAATAGGGTAAAGTCAGTTTCTTATATATATTTAGCCTTTTAATATATCTATATTTAATTTTTTGACAAGTTTGTAAAAAATAGAAATAATATTACGATTTACAATACAATTCACTATTCGATTCAATTCAACTTTCTTTACGATTACAGTTTTCAAAACATTGTAACAGACCTCGCGTGAACAGTAACGTGAATAGTGACTCGATTGCTAGTCTTCCTTAGTTCACCAAACCAATTCCCACACTAAACCTGTTCTGATACCATGTCAACTAACATAAAACAGAATAACAAATCAAGAAAAAAAATAAGAAATAGCAAAAACACCAAGATTTAACGTGGTTCGGCTCAGTAGCCTACATCCAAGGGAAGAGAGGGAAAAATATTCACTATGAGAACAAGAGATACATGGCTGACCTCTCTGTAGACTCGCAACAAAATATCCACTCTCACTCAACCCTAATCCCACACAAACAATGGCTTAAATAAGCAAAAGGGCAAATTTATACCAGAATTTCACACAAGCCCCTCTTCCTCCCATAAATACATACAAGTCCCCAAAATTTATCAGCATTACAAATATACACCTGTAACCTCCAAAAACCCAAATACAACCAAATATAATATATCTCTCGACATAACATTCCTTAACCTAAAAATGATGGAAAATAAATTCAAAAGGCCATTAGATAGGTTATAAATAGCTCACATATTGAAATAAGTCTTACTACACAAAGGGTTTTGAAATAAAACTGTTGAGAAGAAAAGAAAGTGAAAAGTACAGAGCTAAGTCATTGCTGAATTGGTTAAATTGCATTAATTGGACAGACAATAAAGACTCATGAATCAAATCATAAGATTCAAACAACAACAGTAATGTATTTTTAAGAAAGGTGATGCTGGATTCACCCAAAGAGGAGATAATTGATGTAGCTATTTTTTTGTCAACATAATTGATTGATGTAGCTATCATGGCCCTGAGTAAGCTGGAATTAGGCCAAAATCCCTCATCTTGTTAGTTTGAGATTTAGCTTATGTCTACCCAAAGACACAAAAAATGGATAAAGTACTTGCTATTGGAGTAAGGATAGGTCCTAATGGAGTCAGCACCATCAAGTTTGGAGTTGGCACCAATCTGTAAAAATTATAAGAACAATTCATCACCATCATCATCTAAGCCTTGTCCCAACAATCCAAATGCAGAATCCCCATTTTTCTTTCAGGAAAAGGTTTTCAAAAATTTTCAATGATTTTAACAAAATATCAGAAAGTTTCAATGATATTCTAAAATTTTAATTCTTAGATGTATAATTTGTCTATGGATCCCTGATATGTTGGCAATGTATTAGCAATTTATAAAAAAAGGGCAATGTATCAAAGATACAAGGGGAAAAAGATTCTTAGAATACCTTTTGTCCAACCATCCAAGATGATTGGGGAGTAGTATTTCTCATTTGGGGAGTAGTGCTTCTTACACTAATAACCTACTGATAGATCACTAATAAAAAAATGAATAGTTGTGCAAGGTAAAGGATTAATTGGGAAACGTTTTGCCAGTTTAGTCCAAAAATTCTTGCCAAGATGAAATTATGGATTCATTTCCTGCCCAAGTCATGGCTTCATACAAGTTCAGGACAGAACAAGAGAACTTATGGCTTTGTTGAATGTCCAAGTTAGATGGATCCTAAGGGAATTAATACCATTGTTGATATGCTTGGGAAATCAGGGTCAGAAAGAGGCTATTTTATATGGTGGCAGAACCCTGTCTGAATAGTTTCTAGACAGGAGTGGGTTCTTATTTTTTCCCCAATATTTTGTGCAGATCTGCACATCCTATCATGTTCATTAACTTTTACCATAACTGAAAATTTTCAGTTTCTTTTTTCCAAAAGCAAAAAAGAAAAAAAGAAAGAAACAAGGAAAATCAAAACAAGTTGGTAAGCATTCAGCTTAGCTATATTCCATGGATATGTCCCCAAGTCCAGATTGCTAGTTGCCTATTAACTGGATCCATTGCTGGATAGTGAATCTCCAATAAAAATGCACCAGCTGTCCTCTGACCATGTGAATGCGGACTATGTGCTAAAGCCGTTCTATGTTTTCTCCTTTGAATGGGGGAATCATGAAAATGTGGATAAATCATGAATGGAACTTACGTGTAAATGCAGGTGGCTCCTGTAGACTGCATTCACATGGGTCTAGGATATGTGGCACATTGCTACTGGGGATTCATCAATGAGTCTACCAAATAGGTAGCCAGCAATTCCCAGAATTCCAGCTTCTTGCAATTCAACAATGATGGGTTACAAGGTTGAGCATAAAAGACTTATTGTATGGAACATCATCTCATTTGTTGTTTTTAGGGGATATTGAGGGAAAGAAATAGAAGAATTTTCTTGAGTGTGCCAACACTGCTTCCATGGATGTGCAGAGATATTTATTCATGCATGAGGAAGTATGAATTGGGCAATAGGGTGGATTCAAGCYGAGCTGAGCTGAATATCTAGCTATTCGAGCTTGGCTTGCCAATAAAGTATGAGGCTCAAGCTCGAGCTCGAGCTTGATTCGAGCTAGAGATTTGAGCTCAAGTTTGGCTCGAGTCAAAAGCTCAAGCTCGGATCGGCTTGACTTGAGCTTGATTGTGAGCCAAATGTTTTATAAAAGTAAAAAAATATATATAATTATTTTTTCTTTGACATATAAAAAATTAAGAATTATAAAAACTAGTTATAATTATTATATATATAACATTTTTTATTTTTTTATATATATTTATATATTATTTTCTATTTGTATAATATATATATATATATATGTGTGTGTGTGTGTGTGTGTGTGTGTGTGTGTAAAAGCTCGATTAGGCTCTCAAGCCTCACAAGCTGAGCTCGAATAGCTTGTGAAAAAGCTCGACTTGTGGCCACCCCTAGATTGGCCATTAATATTGAAAGAATTCTAGAATATAGAATTGATGTCAAAAGAAAATTGCCATGATGTCGTGAGACATTGAAGTTACACTAGGTGTATTTGTTCTACACACTTTTATTTTGTTGGGATCCTCTAGCTCTTAAGTTGGACCTATTTTACTTTTGTAAACCCCTTTACTTGCATCTATAAAATTACTCTCTTATCTACTGAGAAGGATTGATTTAAAATGCCAGAGCCCCATTCAATCCTGTTTTCACAAATTGAGTATGCTAAACTTAATATGTAACCCATTGTTGAACTAGCCTGATTCTCCTCATCAATCTGATTTCAAGTCCTGCATCATTCCAATACACTGCTAATATTTGTGGTCAAAGCTGGTCATGATGTTCTTTCCCATGACAAAAATAGTAGGTCTTTCATATAAAACTGGCTAACTTCTCCCTTATAATTTAGTCTCACATTTGAAGCTGATTATCATTTTTCCCAACTCATTTGCAGAAGCAACACCAAAAACCATTATGAGGACAATGGGTGTAAAGGGCCTTACCCTGTATCATTTGAAGTCTCATCTACAGGTTAGTTTCTCTGCATTGCATATTTTGGAATTTCTATTTTTATTTTTCCTTTGGTTGCCTTATTATTCCGAAACAAGAAAAAAAAAATCAGATTAATGAATAGATTCTTTCTTGATTTTTAAAATATGTAATTACAACCTAATTGATATTCTTTTCTTTTCCAATTTTGGATCTATTTGATATTGCAAGTAAAAAAGAAGGAAAATGAATGATTTCCATAGAAAAGGCTGTTTTATGGCATTTGTTCGCAATGTCTGTGGAAAGCAAAAAAATTCCAAATAGTGAATGGTATTTGTAGGATAATGACGTGATGCTCCTTCTAACCTTCCTCACATCATTTTCTGAATAGAGGAATGATTATCTTGATTCATTTTCCTATTTCAACTTCAGGGGGATCATTCTTTTTACTTTCATTTTGTATGCAGCCAAATGCGACCTTAGTGCATCTACTTTTTCCTGCTATAGTTGTGAATTTCTAGTCAAGTGAATTTGGGAGGCAATAATCTGACTTTTAGGTGTATTCAGAAATAATACTGTTATCTGCAATTCATGTTTGACTATATTCTTCTGCAGAAATATCGTCTGGGGAAGCAATCATGCAAGGAGTTCACTGAGAGTTCTAAAGATGGTATCAATCATATTCTTTCTTTCCCCCCCTTTCTTATGCATGGGGGATTGTGCGTTCATTCAGACATGGTTTTACTGCAATAATGGATATTTTTCTTTCTTTATAATATTTTTTTCTGAATATAACCATTGCCTTTCAATGGAGGTGGCACGGCATTGAAATGCCCATCTTCGTCATCGTAGTAATCGTCATCGTCATCTATGCCTTATCCCAACTATAAGGGGGTCAGCTACATGAATCCTGTTTCACCAATCTGTTCTTTTAAAGCCATATCCATTGTTAAATTATTAGTGCTTAAATCATTTCTTATTACTTTTAGTCTTTTACCCATATCCTTTTTGGTCTATCCCTAACTTTTTTGGCCCCTTCCACTTGTAACAAATCACTTTTTCTAATTGGAACTGTTGGTGGTCTTCTATGCACATGACCAAACCTTCTTAGTCTACTCTCTCTCATTTCATCACTTATTGGAGCTACTCCTAAGTTCCTACATGACTTCATTCCTGATCCTATCATTTCTAGTTTTGCACTCATCCATCTTAGCATTCACATTTCTGCCACAATCATTTTCTGGACATGTTTTTTAACTGCTCAACACTTTGCTCCATGCAACATTGCTGACCTTACAACTGTTCTATAGAAATTTCCCTTTAATCTAAGTGGTATTTGCCCATCACACCGAAGTCCAGATACGTCCTCCATTTTGCCCAACCTTCTCTAATCTTTGGGTGACATCATCATCCATACTTAGGGTGGGTTATTTCTGGTTAACCAGATGCTCATTTATTCTATATTATTGCATTGGGTTTACAGCCTCTTCTGTTGCAGAAAGTCAGGGTGCTGTTTCATCATCTTCATCAGCATCATCAAGAATGATGGCTCAAGACTTAAATGAGTATGTTGTAATTTCTAGTTTCTTATTTACATCTATCTTGTTTTCTTTTTCCTCATTGCTTGCAAAATTTGTAACAGTGGTTACCAGGTTACTGAGGCTTTGCGGGTGCAAATGGAAGTCCAAAGAAGATTGCATGAGCAGCTGGAGGTAACTTCTGATTTTTCCTTTTCCGAACTTCTAGTCTTATAATGATGGTTTCACAATGCCAGGTCCAGCGACATCTCCACCTTCGGATTGAAGCGCAAGGAAAATATCTGCAGTCCATACTTGAGAAAGCCTGCAAGGCTCTCAATGAGCAAACCATAGCATCAGTTGGGCTTGAAGCTGCCAGGCAAGAGCTCTCTGAATTGGCCATCAAAGTTTCTAATGACTGTCTGGGTATGGTCCCACTCGACACCATCAAAATGCCTTCCTTATCTGAGATTGCTGCAGCTCTTGAAGAGAAATCTGCTTCAAACGGGCCAACTCGGATTGGGGATTGCTCTGTTGACAGCTGCCTGACATCAACTGGAAGCCCAGTATCTCCAATGTGCATGGGTTCACAAGCTGCAATGATGAAGAAAAGATCAAGGCCCATGTTTGGCGGAGATTCACTGGCTTGGGAAAGTGATATGCGGCAAGATGTTGAGTGGATGTTGCCAGGCATTCGATGAAAGGCAGGAGCAGTCCCATGAAGAACAAATGACAGAAGTTCCATGGTGACTAATCTGAACCTTTCATTGTGGCAACTGTAACATGATAGATCTGTATATTCTCTATACAGATCTTTGTATTTGGGAACACATCTCACTTGCAATGGAGTGGCATTATGCTCAGTCGTTCATGAAATATCCATCTTTTATGTATGTGAGCTAAGTAATAGCCATTTCTTATATATAATCAATATTTGTTTGAAGTTTAAATCGTGTATATCACAATCTGACAGTCGGTAGAGGAGTTGGTAATTGCTGAAATCATGCCATTGCCACCCAAGCTTGAAAATACTAGCTTGCCAATACGGGGTTGCCCTACAATGAGGGCCCTCTTGTAGTGGATTATTGCTTTTTGACTGCAAGTTAGGTTTGGGCATTAAGTAGAAGCCATTATGATGAAAAAGGAATCCTTCCTACACCCTCAAATGCAAGGGATCAAGGTTCAAAATTCCGCAACTTATTGGACCATATTGGCCAATAAGTATAGTTTCTTTAAGGGGTTGGTATAGGAAATGCTATAAAATCATTTGTATTGTATCTTTTTGTTGTGTCAACCTCATAGCGGGTCTGTATCGGAGTGTATTGGGACCATATCATAGCCATATTGAAGTGTATTGGCTGATTCAATACGATTTTCCTATATGCGAAAAATAAATTAAAAATGATAAAGAAAAAAGGTTTCTAATTCTTTCCAAAAGTTTTGTTTTTCTCCCAAACTCACCAAATCATCCTTGTACATTCTTGGAAATGCTACTAAATGTATACACTCCTTATGTTGAAAATCCTATATTTTTTGTGCTTTAAATAGATCTATTTAATTTTTTAAGAAAATTTGGAAAAAATATAAAATAACAACAAAAAAAATAAAATTTTATATTTTGTGTAATTTGCCCATGAAGAATAATTGTGTCATAGATTTATAGGTAATTTAACATATCCATATATCTATTGAAATTTCTAAAATATTTATTTTTTGTAAATTTTAGAATAAAAATAGTTTTTCATTTTTAATATAAAAAATAGTTATTTTTGTAAAACTAAAAATATTCATTTTTAAAACTTTTTTGTAATTTTAGAATAAAAAGTATATATTTTTTTATAATTTTTAATTCATAGATTTATTGAAATTTATTGTAAAATATTTATTTATATTTTTTTGTAATATTTATTTTTTCTAATTTTTGGTGTGATCTAACTATAATATTTACCATGTTGTAAATCTATGGATGATCTATCACATCCATAAAATTATTTTCTTGTTACACTTTATTTTTTAATTTTGTAATAAAAATAAAATAATTGTTTGAATAGGAAATAAATAATTGTAGTTATAACCTTATTAGAGAGAATATCCTTGTATTTTCATATGTTGATTATGATATATATTTTCATAAAAATCACTAAGGCTGTATTTGGATGTGATGTAAAACAAGAACCTATGTAAAATTTACATTGGTTCAGTTTTGTATGCATTTGGAAAGAGGGTGTAATTATTATTAATGTAAAGTTACACTCTAGTTCAGTTTTGAGTGTGTTTGGATGGAGTGTAGTATTACGTCAATAATCAATGTAAAATCTCATTAACTCTAAAGCTTTACATCGATAATCGATGTAAAAACTACATCAATTTTCAATGTAAAACCTCATTAACTCTAAAGATTTACATCGATAATCGATGTAAAAATTACATCAATTTTATCGATGTAAAATTTTACACTCTTCTGCCCATCACTATTTTCAAAAAAGCAACCGTCACTTTCTAGTTTAGTGTAAAACGTCATCGGTGTATTTTTAAACTGATTTCAAACGCAGCCTAAGGATGTAAATTTTATGTATATATAGTTCATTGAAATATCTAGTGTTTCATGTGTTTCCATGTATATCTTAATTTTTCATTCATATCCATGTGTATCCAAGGCATATCCTAATATGTCTCTTAAATTGTCTTTTTGATCTTTCAAAAAAAATTGTCTTTTCGATAGATTGTCATCTCATCTCAACAGTGATGTCTCAAAAAAGTTGCCAGAGTGCCATAGATTGGATTTTAGGGGATCGGTATCAATGAGCTTGCTTGGCCCTATTGGGTTTGGATTTATAATTTACTTCTCATTGAAGCTGTTGTAGAAGTGGATAATCTTTATGAGAAAAATGATAATAATCAACTTTTACACCAGCTTGGTTGAGCATTCTTGAAGATGGGTGGCATTCAAATGTTAAAACAGTTAAAGGCATGGAATTCAAAATGTTATCTAAAAACAGTTCTTCTACAAAATTTAATGCACTTGCAAAGCTTCCTTCTCTGGGGTACCTTTTCAAAGCCAGCCCTTTCATTCGTCATGGTCTTCACATTCCAACAATTCAATTTTCTGAAACTCGGAAGATATTATAAGAAGTTTGTTCACCTTGAAATGAAGTGAAACCCTAGAATTCTTTATTGTTCACCTTTTTCTTAGACTTTCCATGAAAGCCACTTTGGCATCTCTTCCTTTATTCAGAACAACTCATGTAGCCATATTCCCCACTTTCTCCATTGCGTCTTTGAAGGTCTCTCTTTTATTCTTTTATTTCTTTGTGTGTGCGTGTGGTGGTGGTGGTGGTGGTGGTGGTGGGGAGGGGGAGAGTCTATAAAGCTGAGAGTTGCTGTGTCGCCTCTCAAGCCAAAGCCATGAAAGAGTCACCAGGTAAGCATTTATCATTAGTATTCTTTTAGTATTCGCTTTCTAATTTCCTTCCTTAAAAAATAACAAAAAAGATTAAGAAAATCAAAGGCTTTTAGCATGTCTATAACAATATGAATGATTTTTCTTCAGAAGATATGGTTGATTCAATCACTCGTCTAGCTTTTAAATCTTAATATGGTTGGGAAATCTGAACTCTCAAGTTGAGAGTTGTCTATACAAAAAGCAGAATTGCTAACTGGCAGTTCACTACATGGTTGATTACATCTTTAAGGTTCCTGAAATGTTTCCAAACCAAGTGATCCAGTTATTTGATTAATGTAATTGGGTGTGGATACTAATCACAGCAGCATGCCTTTTCTTTTATTTTTCTTTCATATTTTTAAAAGAATTATTATTTGTTCTTTTACAAAACTTTACACTGGACTCCTGCAAAATTAATGAAATATATCTATGAACTTGGGGCACTGGCTCCTTAGATAATTGAGTTACACCTGTTTGAGAAAGTGAAATATGGGATCTGCTCTCCTTGTTCTGGGTTGTTTGGGTTGATAGCTTATGTTCTTCATTTTCTAAAGAGGTGGTTGGTGCCACTCTAGGCAAATAAATCTTGGTTCGGTTCGGAATTGCTTGATGGTAATAACATGTCTTGATATTCATAAAAAAAATAATAATAATAACATGTCTTGATTATTTCATTTCTTTTTTGATGAAACATTAGATTTCTGTTTGAGTGATCACAACCTGTAGTGGTTTCACATTGTCCTCCAATAACAATTTGCCCTGAGATCCAAATTAATTGATAGGATATGGTAGTAAAGTAAGCCCTACAGGTTTAATTTGTCTTCATGTTCTTATATCCAGCCAAGTAAGATTTAACTGATCTGCCTATATCCATGCTGATACTTGGACATCTATTTATACCTTCTAATATGCTATTGATTTTATGGGCTGAAATTGGCAAAAGACATTGGAACTAAACACTTTCAGACAATGTAACACAATGAAGGGGACAAACAATAAAGTGCAAACATTTTATTTTCCAAAATTTCCTTTAGGTTTCATATTCTGTTACATGGTTACACCTTAAAATTGTTTATGTACTTTCTTTTACATGCCAAGGTAACAACATAGAGCCTATTGCATTTAAAGGCTCTTGGTTATTCCAAAAATATTCATCATAAATTATATTCTCTCTATGGATTACTGTTTTTGTTTGATCTCCTTCAGCATTTATGTTTTTAAGATCTATTAGTCCTCTCCTCTCTCCCCTTCCCCCTCTTTCTCCTTGATTTATGTCCTTTGTCAAATTCTGACATTACCAAGTAATGATGGAATGCTCTTTAATGTACAAATTGTTCTCTTTAATATATTCAAGAATGAACTCTGTTTGTTTCTGATAAAAGAAAAGGTTTAATTCCCTTTCACATGCTTTTTTTTTCTTTTCCTTTATTTCTTTTCTTTTTATTTTTTTTCTTTTCTCCCTTTGAGTAGGTTGGTCGTTCAAGTTACACCAAGTGTATTTTGTGCATTCATTTTTCTGTATAATCATCATCGTTGTATCCCTTGACCCCTATTAAAGTGGAGAGGATAAACTCTTCCAATTGCATCCAAGCAACCAGCTTTACCAGATGGATATCATGAAAATTGAATTCAAAACTCAAAATAAGTCCTTTCCTTCATAGTACTCTGAACTGTGCTATATTGAAACTCCTAGAAGTAGATCCAAGTCCTCCATAGATGTTTCAGATTGTCCTCCTTCCATCTGTATAGATTCTAGGCTCTATGAGAAAGCCTGAAAGGGTATAGTAGTGGGTGTTTTTTATTTTGATGGTCAAAATAAAATTCATTAGAAAAGAAAAAATACAACCTAATTAGATGATGAGGCAGCATCCGCATACAAACTAACATAACAGAATCATCCAATTACAATTCAAAATAAATTTTCCAGATTTTGAAACCCCAACACTACCCCAATCTTATCCCCAAAATCCTTTATGGTGACTTGGTCTAAATTCTGGTAATATCAGGACCCAATCTGCAGTTGATTTGCCAACAGTTGCCACCAACCTATCCAAATTCCAAACTTTGTCTTCACAAAATCTTTTGTTTCTTTCCTTCCATAGTAGTGAGCGTTGCTACTCCCAGTGGATAAAGAGAATTTTTTTTTTATATTGTCTAAGACTTAATATCAGGAGTTGTTTTTTTTTTTTTTTCATTTGCCTCTTTTATTTAACTTTTCATTTTCATTCGTTTGTATGGGTATACTTACAAAAACATAACTGCATGGCTCATCCCCTTTTCCCTTGTTTTCTGGCTCACTATCCTTCCACAGGCCTTCAAATTCCTTAAAAGCTTGCATGCATATTTAGTAAGAATGTTCAAAATTCTTGCCAAACAACCATAAATCATCAAGTTTTACCTTAATATCAATTATTTGTATGACCCTTTTTGTTCATTATTAATTAGTGTATCTAATCCTCATTCTCACCACTCCAACTAGCCTATTGACCTTCTAAATAATAATAAGAAGAAATTGGCTCTACCATTCATCATATCCTTAATGAGATATCTTGCATGTATTGAAGCAACCCCTGTTCCCTTTTTATTTCTTCTTTATTCAGGTAAATTTCATCTATGCCCTACACTGAAGTCATTTTTCACTGAAAAAGTTGGAGGCTTGCTTTCCCATTGCAATTCATCAAACAAGTATAAGAAGTTAGATGCAAAGCTTGAAGGGAAAATGATTGAAGTTATCAAACACAAGGGGTCATCTGAAAAGAAGACTTTCAAGTCAATGAACAGCATAATTATGAGATTTCCTCAATTCAAAGAGGAGATGAGATTGATCAAGGATGTGTTTGAACAGTACGGTGAGTTTTTACTAAGATTTTAGGATAAAAAGTGTAGTTGAGGCAGTTGACCCTGGACCTGGAGATCTTTTTTTCTTTTTCTTTTTTCCCTGCGTGCATGCATGGTAGGGCTGGAGAGGTTCGAGAGACATGGGGAGTAAAAAGCATGATAGAAGTGGAAAATACTAAGAATAGATATTGGTAATGCAAATTTGCAGTTGATAGAATGGGGATATTTCAAATTTCTGTCCCTTTGTTGGACCCTTCTTGTCATTATAGAACAAATTTAGCTCAAAACTATCTAGAATATGGCAATAAACCCGAGGAAAAGAAACCACATATAATTCAGAATAGATAAGAAAGACAAACAACTAATGAAGCTAACTTAGAGGCTAAAACACCAAAAAGACTTTCTTTCTAGATATGTTAAGCTGCAAAGATGAGGAGCTTGCAACATGATTTAATCCAACAGCTGCATAGAGAATATCCAATGAAATCTTAGATGAGGGTCTATCAGAAAACAGAAAAGCAAATAAAAGCTTCTTTCAAAACAGAGGTTAGTGAAAAGGTAGTGTTTATTGCTCTCTTTCTGTTATCTTGATTTGTGCAATAAGCTAAGAATAAGGAATTTTACCGGTTTTAGCACAAAAAATATTAAAAAAAGTAATGAAACTTTCCACTACACTAACAATTTAAGGTCACCAAGCATGACCTTCCACCTTTCATAAGGGGGGTAAACCTCTGAGTAGTAATTAAGGGGTAGGCCTTAGTATATATGTGAGGCCTAGACCTGTAGAGATACTCTTGGTACCTCACTTCGAGGCATATACGTTCCCCCTTGAAGTAGTTGTCTTTTAAATCAATGGTTTTCGTAAAAGTTCTATTGGAGTTTAACTTCTTCACTGTTGCAAGATGTTTTGTGGAGAGTTAAGTGATGAATGTTTCATACTCTCTCTTTTGAATAGATGAAGATTCTAATGGAAGTATTGACCGTGATGAACTAAGGAAATGCTTAGGCAAACTGCAAGTCCAACTAACAGAGAAGGAAATGGAGGATCTTTTCCAATCATGTGATATTGATAAGAATGAAGGGATACAATTCAATGAGTTCATTGTTCTTCTCTGTCTCGTCTACCTCCTTATGGAGCCTTCCTCCTCTTCAAACACTGTAACAGTCTTTTAGAGTTTGTGATATGTTTCCTTTGCATCTTATATATTGTAAATATGTACTTACTGATTTCTTTGATGAACTGGGGACTTCTTTCAGAAATCACAGATGGGATCACCACAACTTGAGGCCGTCTTTGATACAATAATTCAAGCATTCCTGTTTCTTGACAAAAATGGAGATGGAAAACTGAACAAGAAAGACTTGGCCAAGGCATTTAATGAGGCTCCTACCCAGGAGAAACTCCCGAGGCATATCACCAAATCAAGATTCAGTATGTCATCCCCTCCCCTAGTTTGTGCTTTGTATTACTATTCTGTTTCTATTTTTTCCTTGGTGTGCACTTGACCATCTGCTCTTTTTGGGTATCCTTCTAACTAAATGCAGAAGAAATGGACTGGAACAGAAGTGGTAAGGTCAGCTTCAAGGATTTCCTATTTGCATTAACCAAGTGGGTTGGGATCGATACAGATGATGAGAAGGATTAGTCAGTATGACATGAGGTGGGACTGGATAGAATTAGCAGATGATTTACAGGAGCAAACACTGTACAAGACTTCGGCATATGGCTGTATGCCTGTATGCAATTCTTCATAATCAAAATGTCCTAAATACCATCCAACAATACTTGTCTGTTTTGAATTCGTGTAATTGTTGGGCCATTGCAAAAAAGCCCTATTAAGTAAGAGTAATTGTGGCAGTAAATGATAAACATCTTCCAAAATATCGTTCAATTAATAATGCTGCAGAAAAACTGAATTCAAATCTGATAGTTACCTTCCAATTGGTATCACATTTAAACCATCCTATTTACAACAGTTATTGTTAGTATGTAGTTATAATGTAAGAAATGGAGAAAGAGGAGTGTTCTGTTGCTTTCTTTTTTTCTTTTATACGAGGAGCCTAGGATGTTTGACAGTTTGAATTATCTGTTATACCAAGTTCACTTTGCAAAAATAAATACTTTCCATATGAAGCTTTTATTTACAGCCAATGTGGGGCAGTACAAGGTTTGTTTTGAAAATGGCAAGTCTCTGTAGCATTAGCTAGTATTTGAGTTTTAGTATACCAAATTTTAGTTTTGGTGCCTTTAATGGAGAGAAGAAAAAGTAGATAGCTTGCTTGATTCCTTCTTCTGAGATAAAACTTAAAAGGAATATCCACAACCCATTAGCAAAATCATCACAAATTTGTATGCAAAAAAGACATCTCTCCCATTTTTATTTACAAGAAGTAAACAACCAGATAAAACATTTCAGCATTCCTTTTCTATACAAGAAGTATAACATAAAACTAGATACCGTTACCACTCATTTTTCCATACCAAAACTTCAACTGTGTTGGCTGAGTTTCACTGAATTCCAAGAGCTTGGATTCTTTTGATCAATGCCAAGGAACAGTAGTTCCTCTGCTGCCATTCATCCCTTCTTTCTTTCCTTTGTCCTCCCTCCTCCAAGCACCTGTCATTCCCATCCAGTATGCTGACAATCTTCTTCATGCTTGGTCTCAAATCTGGGTCCGAGTGTGTACATGCCATTCCCAATTTCACTAGCCTCACCATCTCCCTGTGATCATACTCTCCATCCAACCTCCAATCCACCAGTTCCATTAATGGTCTCTTCCGTGCCTGGAATTCACGGACCTTCTTCACTAGTAGTACCTCAGGCCACCGGAAGTCGACCGCCATCTGTCCAGTCACAACCTCAAGCATCACCACGCCAAAGCTATACACATCGGCCGAGGTATTTGCTTCACCGGATTCTATATACTCCGGTGCCATGTATCCAAAGATCCCACGAACTGATGATCTCGTTGGATTGGCAACCACATGATGGCCATGCTCATTCCGAATCAAGAATTCAGCAAGAGCAAAGCAACCCAGACGTGGGTTCATGTCAGGGTCAAGAACAATGGCCGAAGATGTGATGTTTCTGTGAATGACCTGCTCATCCCATTCCTCATGGAGGTAAAGAATGGCAGATGCAAGTGATCGAATTATGCTGTACCGGTGCCGCCATCTTAATACAGGCTGCTCTGTCTTTTGGTGGTGGTGGTGGTGGTGGAAGAGGAGGTGACTGAGCAATCGATTAGCTGAGTAGTCATAGACAACTAGCATCTCTCCTTGCTCAGTGCACCACCCACGGAGCTGCACTAGGTTGCGATGGCGGAGCCTCCCAAGGTTATGGAGTTCGTCAGAAAACCGAGCTCGCAATGCAGGGCATGTCTTCATCCCAAGTCGCTTTACCAGGATATGTTGACAGTTCTCCAGGTAGCCATGATAAGCAGTGCCAAAGTCCACCTCTGCAACTCTGTGGGTATCCGAGAAATTGTCTGTAGCATTAATAATCTCCTGGAATGATATCTCTCGTGGTGTTTTGACTGAAGGGAAAGTGGTCGGATAGTAGCGATTGCTGTCACTGGAAGGACCATTGCTCTCACCATTGTGGGCAGTCACAAACATGGTCTCGGCTGCAGTGACATAACTAGACGCCATAGATGTAATGGTGGTTGTAGTAGATGTGCTGGGAGATGACAAGGATATGTATTGAGGGTGGGACTGAAACGATGGAAGAGCCGGTAACGGACCGATACAAGTTCCGGCGAGTGCTGTCATGACCCATTTCATGGTAGGCCTGGATTGAGGGTCACTGAGAGAACACAGGAGCCCGATATGGATCAGACGTTCCATGTCAGAAAGCCTGTAAGATCCATCCTTGAGCCTGCCATCCCCAGCTTGGAGGCACCTGCCCTCATCAGATAGCTGTCTTATCCAGTCAAGCAGGATGATCTGCTCATCTGGGTATGTGAGATCGATCGCTCGCCGACCAGAGGCCACCTCCAAGACAACAATCCCAAAGCTGAAAACATCAGATTTTGCCGTCGCAATGCTTCGTTTCTGGAAGCTCTCAGGCGGCAGATACCCAATTGTGCCACCGATCCTGGTTGTGTCTGCCAACCGAAACTGGTGGCTTCTTATGGACATGGACTTGGGTATTGGGGTGGTTGGATATTCGAGCTCATGCTCCAGCCACCGGGCCAAGCCAAAGTCGCCCAGCCGGGCGTTGAAGTGGGAGTCAAGCATCACGTTGCTTGTCTTCACATCCCGATGAATGATCTGCGTCTCCAGCTGTTCATGGAGATAGAAGAGCGCGGTTGCCAGGCCGGAGACAATTCGCCAACGGCGTTCAAAGTCCAGAACTGCCGGCCCTGAACCATCAGGCCGCCTGAAGAGCATCCGGTCAAGGCTTCGGTTCGGCATGTAGTCGTAAACAAGGAGTAACTGGTCTTCATGAATACACCAACCCCTAAGCCGAACAAGGTTGCGGTGACGGAGCTGAGCCACCGCCACCAGCTCGGCCGCGAACGTCTTCTCAAAACGCTCCCCCTTCTCTGCCACGCACTTCACTGCAACCACAGACCCATCACTCGGCAAAACTGCTCTATATACACGCCCGAATCCCCCGCTCCCAAGCATCTCATCCTCGCTGAACCCATTAGAGCCTATATAGAGCTCGGCGTAGCTGAAAATCCTCGGGCTGTTACTACCAACCTTGTCTGACAACACTACCCCGGCCATGTCCTGAAAATAACCAGGCCCGGAGAAGTTGCACTTACACAGCTGTCCATAGCAGTACTGCCGGAAACGAAGCCACCCCCGGTGGCCTAACCGTCGGATCAGCTGGCGAATGAAAGCAAGAATCCGGCGGTGGTACTCAAGCCCATCCTTCTTTGTGGTGCGGTGGTTGTTGTCGGCCGGTAACATGAAACAGAGGCGACCCTGCTGCATCCCGGAGGCGATGGCGGTTTTACCGGCGAGAGGCGGAGGACATGGATTGGTGGGATTCTACTTCATACGTTGCTTTGTTTGAATTTTATGCGAGGAATGGACCGGTGAGTGGCCACCACTTTTGACATCAGCACAGAAAATCCTTTTTTCTCAGATTCTAGAAGCACGCTCTCCGTGCGTTCACACGACGCGATCGGAATCTGTAGCAGGAAGCGTGGCGAATGGCGATAGTAAAGCGAGTTCGGACCCTGGAGTTGCGATGGTGGCGCCGGCAGCATCTTATGTCCTGCGCCAGCCTAAATATTGTTGCCACGTGGCAAATGGGACAGCATTTGTTTGTCATCAGTCAACTAGACTTGGTGGGCCATGGTTGGAGATTGTGGGCCCCAACTTTAATCCTCTGGATTTATTTGATTAGTGCCGTAAAAATTGGATAAGATAAGAGGTACTTGATGGTTAAAACTTAAAATCATTGTGTCAAATTGGAAGTTTGGCCTGTTTTCCATCCATCAGACGGTACAAACCATTTTGACATCTACTGTTTCCGATAAATCGAGCAGCACCAGATAATATTTGTATTGGTAACGAGTAACGACTAACGAGTAACGACCTCCCTCCTTTCACGATCACGTGTGCGTATCAACCATAAATACCTTTTGGGCTTTTGGCCGCCTGTAGAGTTGTGAATGGATCGGGTTTTCTCGATAAACCGAACCGGTCGAACCAATTTATCAGTTCTGCAATTGTGTCCTGATTAATAATTGAGTTGGGATTAGGAATGACAACCGGGTGGGGCAAGGCCGAGTTTTCCATGTCGCATGATGTTTGAGTTCGGGGTCGGAGCCGGGGTGAGGTGGACAAATACCATCTCTGCCCCGTTCTCAGTCCCCCACCCTGAACCCCAATCAATGGTCAAAAAACCTACCTTGATTGGGGTGGGGTGGGTCAGAGCCCCACGAGGATGGGTCAAATTGCCATCTCTAATTGGAATCAGTTTTTGTTATTCTAAACGGATTATGGGGGCATTGTATAATGCAAATTATTTCTTTGGTTGCTGGTTCCAAAGAAATAATTATTTAATACTATGCTTCCATCTCAACAAGATTGAGTTCTTGAATTTCTAGTTTCAAAAACATGCTTCCATCTAATTATTTAATACTATGTTCCATAAATCACATAATTTTATACTAAAGAAATTGTTTTTTATTTTAAAAATCATCATTATTTTGATCATTTCAAAAACATATATTGTTTTTTTAAAACAAAACCAATTTGTTTTTTCTTTTGAAAACAAAAATAGAGTTAAATAACATGTTTTTTTTTTTGTTGAAGTTGGGTGAGCAAGAAAAACCAAAAAACCGAACCAATAATTCTGATTAACCAAATCGAGCGGTTCAATTTTGGCTTGGTAATTTAAAAAACCAAAGGTTAACCAAACCAATCAATATACATATATTTCTATATATTATATGTATATTATATATATGTTTCATATATTTTATATTATCCATATATTGTAAAGTAATAAATATGCATTATATATAAATATATATTTATAATATATAATATATTATTTATTATTTAAAATATAATATTTTATATGTATTTCTAGTTTTATTATATATTTATATAATTTTTATAATATATTATAAATATAAAAAAAACCAAAAAACTAATAAAACGAATCACCTGTTAATCGAACCAGTCAACTAGTTAAACAATCGGTTTTGATTCAATTTCGGTTATCGGTTTTCCACAAACTGCTAGTTCCAGTTCAATTTCAAAAATAAGCTCAACCGAACCGTGAGCACCCTTATCTAAAGTGGCGATTCCAAAAATAAATGAAAACAAAAGCATTGATGTTATAGAACGCCCCCTAACTAATACTTTATAGTATATAAAGGCTTGCTGATTTTTCTTGTATTTTTTATTACATTTTGTCTAAAAGGGTAAATTTATAGACAAGTAATTTTGATATCAGTTTATTATTTACTCTTATTTTTTATTAAGATTATATTACCAAAATATGAAGTTCCAAATTGTTATTACTAGAAGTAGTTATACATGTCAAAGTATTATCGGGTTTAATCGAATAATAAATTGTTTGTTTCTGTTTCTATTAAGGGAAAATTCCCAATTAGTACCTTGTACTTTGGGCATAATGCCATTTTGGTCCCCAAACTTTAAAACGTGACATTTCGGTACCTGAACTTTCAAAACGTACCAATTTAGTACTTATCGTTAACCAACTGTTAAGTGGCATTTGAAAAGACATAAATGCCCTTCGAGTGTCATCTAATTTTCTTTATTAACTATCCAAACGTTGACAAAAAATGAAGAGTCCGAAGTCCTTTTCTCTTCTATTCAAGTTGGGGTCACGTCTCAATAGGCATTCTGGTGACCCCAACTTTCTTGAATAGAAGAGGCAAGGATTTGGGATTATTCATTTTTTGTCAACGTTTGGATGGTTGATAAAGAAAATTTAGATGACACTCGAATGGCATTTGCATCTTTTCAAATGCCACTTGACGGTGGATTAAACCCAGGTACTAAATTGACACATTTTGAAAGTTTAGGTACTAAATTGTTGTGCTTTAAAGTTCAGTGGACCAAAATGGCAATAGGCCTAGTGGTGAGCAAAAAAACCAAAAAACCAAACCGAAAAATTGGTTAATCGAACCAATCGGTTCAATTTCGGTTCAATGTTTTAAAAAAACCAAAGGTACCGGTTCGGTTTCAGTTAACGAATATAGAAAACTGGCGGTTAACCGAACTGACCGGTATACATATATTTTATATATATTTCTGTATATTATATATATTATATATTTTATATATCATAAATATGCATTATATATAAATTTATATTTATAATATATGATATATTATTTATACTTTGAATATAACATTTTATATATATTTATAATTTTTTATTATATATTTTTATAATATATATTGTAAAAATTAAAATACTGAAAAACCGATGAACCGAACCAGTCAACCAATTAACTGATTGGCTTTGGTTTGATTTCGATTACTGGTTTTCCAAAAACCGGTAGTAACAATTCGATTACAAAAAAGGCCCACGATTCGATTAACCGAACTGTAAACACCCCTAATTAGGCCCAAAGTACATGGTACTAATCAGAAATTCTCCCTTCCATTAATAATCCATTCAGGATTGGTCCACCCTGTCCCAAACCAGACCCGACCCGTTAACAGCTATATGACTGGTCCTCAGGCATACACATCTCATTCACCACCGTCCATATTAGCAGCGATAGATCACATGTTAGGCTCCCGGTTCAAGATAAAGATCAGCGTTCAAATTTCTTCATAGTCCCTCATGTGTAAACGTTAACCTTGTAGGCACCGTCCAACGTGGGTACTGGGTACAGCCAAATTTACTGGTCCCCCGACCTAATTCCCTACTTCCATGAATCACAACGATGATATGATATCAACCATTGTTTTTCACCGGTTCAGGCTATTTTTAGGACGTGCATATGAACAAGAATCGTGTTTTTCACAAGTTATTTGAATTTCACTAATGAAAAGTTGAATTTGGTTTTATTTAAATTGAGCTTTCAGTTGAGCTTAATTTATATTATATATAATATTTTTATTTTTTTTTATATATAATGACATAATTTTTATATGTATAACAGACAATAATTTTTTTTATTTTTTATATAAAATTTAATATATTATTGAACTCGATTTACCTGATGTTTTTCTATCAAATCAAGATATTCGACTCCGCTCGGCTCCACTGAACACTAATCCACCCTTACTACAATGGTTGAACTGAAGGTGTATACATCAATCTATCTCATACTCTAAAAGGAAATCTGCTTGGCGGGACCCATAGGATGGTGAGCAATCGCTATATATGTCATGGAGATGCAGTTGGGTATGGATAGGATCATAGGAGAAGGTCCCACCTGCACCACTGAAAATAAAAAATGTTTGGTTTTATTTGATAAATTATTATGAACGTAAAATGGGAGTCAACAGCGCTCCACCTGCACGTTGAAAATGAGGAACCAAACTACTTGTTTCTTATATTCCCTTTAAAAAATTCAGGGATTCACTCATTCATTTTTATCACAAATCACAAAATTCAGGGATTCACCACCAACTACACTTTAAATGCGTTCTCACCAAATATATGTATAAAAGAAAGAAAATATTCAACTCAAGCTCAACAGACCCATATCCCAAACTTTAAGGACAAACGCATAAAAAAGATGTACAAAGGTTTCAATCATTTCTAGACAAATACCAACAGTATACCAAGTGGGTTTGGCCTACAACCTTGATCATGTTTCATTACCACCTGATTAGCCAAAACTGATGCAGGGCATTAAGTACATTAAACGAGAAGGCATTGAAAAGGACTTGGATGGAAGTAATAAGAAATGATTTAAGTACTTATGATATGGGCTAAGGTTCAAAGTATCATTATGTATCAGCTTGTATTGGCTGATACGTATCATTCCGGGACCCTTTCGGCACACCCCTACAGTGGGTGTATCGGGGGTCTGACTGGTTCAGGGGATGGAGGGGTCCTAAACCGGTTCCCCTGAACCAGTTTTGAAAAAAAAAGTAAAAAAAAAAAAAAAAAACAAGTATTGAAATGCCCAATACTCCCCTACCGGCGTATCGGGTGTATTGACATTTTGAACCTTGATATGGGCTATTGAATAAAATGGAATGGCAAAACATGATTCATGTAGCCGACCTCATATAAGTGGTGATGACTTCATTAAAATGGCTAGCATTGTTGGGGGTGTAAGCTGAGCCACGTTAGATCAGGTTAAGGTGAATCCTAACCCAATCTGAGCTTTTGAATCCCCAATCCTAATCCTAACCCAGCCTCATGACTTCAGGATGGATTGGGATGAGATTAGGCACAGGTTGGCTTGGTTTTTTCCACTTGTTTTTGCTAGAATGCTCTTATTAGACTTAACTGACAGCATTATTATAACATTATACGTACTAGGTGCTTTAGTTGTATTATACTTTACATTCCTCCATGGTTGTTCAGGGTGGGTTGCTCAAAGGGCTCACCCCTAACCAAACCCTAAGTTAGTTTATATTTTTCAACCCTAACCCTAACCCTAACCCGAACTTCCTCAAATTGTACCCGTTCTAGTTGTTAATATACCCTATGTCTCAATCAGGGGAGGCATCACATGCCTGATGGTTCTACTGTATACAAGTCAAATGGTGGAAAGGTGTAGGGCCTACAGAAGAAGAAAAGGTCAGGTATATTGATCCATTTATCTGCACTATAGTCAGTGGCTGATATTATGGTTTGGTTGTAGGAAAAGAACGTTTGGGTTAGTTTAACCAGGCATTGCACCTTTTTGACGTGCAGCTACCAAACTAATAAAATATACGATGCGTGCATTCCAAGCATGAAGCATGTGCACCAACACTGTCCCAACAAGCCATTGCAGTTGCACAAGGGAGATGTTATCAATGTGAGGCTGCAGTGGTATGTTGGGACAGCATTGGGAGCATTCTGTTGGTAGCAGAAGTTGCAAAATGGTTCACGAAACATCACCTAATTTGGTGTGTAATATGCTAATTCTGGTTGGGTAGCAGATGGAGAGTTCAAGTATAATGTGAACCAGGGCTGGCAGTTCTTGGTCCAAACCACCAACCAACGATTTTTCTTAATGGGTTTTCTTTTGGGTCGTGTCTTTTTCTTTCCAGTTTGGTATGATAGATCACCTGTTACACATATTTTAGGTTTTCAGTATCTTCCTTTCACATGGAGAAATGGAGAGAAAGTAAAGAACGAAACATTCAAAATACAGGAGATTCAGAACAAGCCCAATGAAGCTAGATGATAATAGAGTTGTATTAGCTGTATATGAATTTTGTACATCTGGATTTAGTGGTAACTGTCCCTCTGATGAAAAAGGAGGTGATGTTTCTTCAATGGTTTAGTATAACTTAACTATCTAAGAAAGATAAAAGGAACAAATCTATATCTGGTCCTCTGGGAGAAGTTACACCCAGCCCTGCAAGGCCTATGTTCAGTTTTCCCATATTTTATAATTTCATGGAATCTGATCTGATAAACAAATATTGAAGTGGACTAGTTGGCATAACGTCGACGCAGGAAAAGGAACATAGCAGTTAAAGCTGCCATAGCATATGGAAACACTGTCCAGATACCCTGCATGTTAATAGAAGTTAGATTTTTTTAACTTACACATAAGTAGAATTTATGCAAGAAAAGGGATATTTTGTGTACCACTGCAGTTGCAACACCAGCAAGGGCTACCATGGGCCGCTCTCTCAACAAGAATCCAATACTCAACTGAGCTCAAAATGCACAGAACAATAGTATTAGGAACCACATATACCAAGTGCTCGGTTTGACTCTTAAACCCAAAAAAAAATTATAATACTTCTAGCAACTTTATCAGGAAGAAATGATGATACTGTAAATGTATTCAATACACTGGAATGATTTTTGTAAATGTACTCGCTGATTTGCATTGTAAATGTATTCAATATAATACTTCTAGTGTACCCTGATTTGCACTCCTATTATTATTAAATTTACATTGAATATTTTCTATTTTAGCCACACTCATTTGAAAGCTTCTTTTTCTAAGATAAATGTCAATAAACCTAGTTTTACATTTAATCCTTTGTTATCAATCAATACTATATCGTCAACAAAAAAATAAGCACCATGGGACCTCCTGCTCAATATGTTTATTCAATCCATCCACAACTAGTGCAAATAAACAAGGACTACATGCTGGGACTTACTGTAACCATAAAATCTGGTGTCTCTCCTATAGGCAACATTGGTTGTTGCACCCTCATAAATATCCTTAATCAGGTCCACATATTTGTTTAGTACTCATTTCTTTTCCAGGACCCAGCATATTATCTCTCTAGGGACTCTATCATATGCTTTCTCTATATTATATGAAGATCTCTCTTCTCTCTAAACTTTTCTATCTATCATATCAATAGAAGGAAGGCTTCCTTGGTTGATCTAAAAGGGCAGCACAGTGCACGAGGCTCCCACTAATCGGGGTCTGGGGAGGGACAGATGTACACAGCCTTACCCTCTGAACATACAAAGAGGCTGTTTCCAAGATTTGAGCCATGGTCACCTAGGTCGTAATGGAGCAACCCAACCATGTGAAGATCTCTCTTCTCTCAAAACTGCAAGTACAATCTTAGAGTGGTGCCACTCATATTTATAGGCAAAAGGAAACAACCACCAGTTCACAACATTCGAATGAGGAATGTATGCCTAATCATGCAAGAGATGAAAAAACACACTTAGACTTTTTCATGTACAATATGAGGGTGTTTTGGTAATTGAAGAACCACTAGATAGTGATGTAAAACAGATGGTGCCAAGTTAACAACTTTATCCCATCGTGCAAGTAAACAAAGAATCCCTCTATTGGGACCCACACCTTTGGAGCTTCCAGAATCTGGAGAGCACAATCTATTGACATTAAGGGCATAACCCACTCTGTGCCATTTCACAAATGCATAACCTATTTTCCTTGTGTTTCAACACCCCCCCCCCCTCCAATCCTTAGCATGAGATTCACTTCAATGCCACTATCATAAGAAAGAGATTCTTTGGTAGCTGATGCACTAGCTCTGCGAGGGGTGTATAGAAATCAACTGTATTGGGTTCTAGTATATCATAGACCTTGATTCTAACATGATGTCAATCACCTGGGGAACAGCAAAAAGAGGACAGTCACCAGTTTGGGATAATGGGGTTCTTGGAACTCAGTATTCTTGTAAATAGACATGATTCTTTCTTTAAATCAATTAGACTGCCTGTTACCAATAAAAGAAGCATCATGTTATTCTTCATATTTGAACAGCAGAAAAGAAATAATAGAAATGATCGTAAGGAGTATTCCTTGGCCATATGCCCTTATGTATGCTCTTATGAAAGCCACATCATAATCATCTAAGCATTGTCCCTACTATATGGGGTTGATGTTGAAAGTGAAATCTCATATATTCAATTTTGTTTAATTAATTTTAAAAGTTAGAACTATCTTGCCACGACAGCTTTTCTTGCCAACTCGCCACCAGCTTACCTTATCCCTTATCCCATCTATCCTTATCTTATCTTATGTTCTTAGTAAGAGTTTTGTTTACCACTAGAAGTAGGAGTTTGTTTACCATTAAGAGTAGGAGTTTGAGTTGGATTTAGAGAGGAATTATCCTAGCCTAGCCGAATACAATAAGGAACTCCCTCTTGTAATCTCCTATTTAAGGAGTTGTGAATTGGAATAAAGCATTCAGTTTCTAGTTAAGAGAAGAGTGAGGAGAGTTCGGGTGGTCTCTTGGACAAATCACCCATTCGGTTTTCCACAATAGGGTCTGCACGCAAGGGAAGGCGCAAGGGGAAGCAAGAGGTTCTCCCCGTGGACTGACCCGTGGCGAGATCCTACGCGCGGGCCCATAACAGTCTTTTATTATCCTTTATTTCTTAATCTGGGCACTGGGAAGTGGAATTGTGAGGGGGTTCCTTCTCCTTTTCATCCTTTACTTGATATTATTTTCAACAATCAAGAAAAAGTGTGTCCATATAAATCTTGGTTATGCTATAATTGTCCCAAACATATCTGATGTTGATATATCCAGCGATCTTTATTAAACAAAACCAACATTAACTCCCAGGCTTCCCTTCCCTTCCCTTTCTTTGCTTTTCCTCTCCTTTCCTTTCCTTTTTTTCTTTTTTCTTTTTTTTTCAGTCTTTCTATATAAGATGTGCATGAGGCACATGAGGCATATGCCTCTAGCACACCTCATGAAAAAAGCACATGAGGCGTACGCCTCTTGCACCTGAGGCTTATGCCTCAGAGGTGTCAACACCTCTGGCATACGCCTCAGGGCATTTTGGGAGCGCCTCCAGGCATACACTTCCCACGCCTTTTAAAACACTACTCCTCTCCCCCTGCTTGCAAGTGGAGGATTCAGCTTGTAATTGGTATATGCTGCATAGTATCTCTGCTCTGAATAGGTAGATTTTGCTTGTTCCCATATTTCGCAAGCTATTTCAGCCCACATAAACGCTTTCCTTACTTGTGGCAGCATGGAAACCAAGAGCCATGACATCACCATACTATTTTCTTGGTCTCACATGTCATGTTCAGCACTTCCAGTCTTTGGTTCCTTCACTTTACCATTAATATACCCCATTTTCCCCCTAGCAGTAATGTAAAGTTTAATTCCCCTAGACCATTCAAGGCAGTTTAGTCCATCAAAGGGAATATCAGCGACGGAGAAACTCATATCCATCCCCCCACTCATTCCATTTTAACCTACTAAAATCCCAGAAGTTGCAGAATTCTTAGAGGACATGATTCAAACACTTTTCGAACACTTTTCAGTTTCAACACACACCTTAAGATCTCTCCTAACACCCAAAAATGTCTTAAAAACACACTAGAGATGCAGTCCACATGAACACACTCCGGTCTAAACACAATCTGAACACAGTTGAGTCAAAGTTGAGTCAAAGTTGATCATCCCATTCTCAGGTATAGGATTACATGATCCACAGAAAAGAGACCTGAACCTCACAATTCCTTTGACCATTCAGCAGTTTTGTTTCATAGGGTTTTTTCTTGGTATACGACCAAGAGAAAAGGAAAAAAAAAGGTAAAACAAACTTGTACCAGTCGTAGGTCAACTTCTCTGATCTTAGTTGAAGAAGACAGCAAGATAAAGAAGAAAGAACTTGTTCGATCTGCTCTCAGACCCAGTAGAACCACTCTGATACCATATTAGTAGAAGAAAAAGAGGAGAAATAAGGAAGAAGAAGAGAAGAGAGAGAGAAGAGAGAAGAGAAGAGAAAGGTTTGGGGAGTTCTAAATCAGTCTGGTGGCACCAGCTTATATTATTATATATAGGGTGACCATAATTAAAAGGGAAAAGACCCTTATGCCCCTGCTATAGTCAAAGTACATAAACAATGATAAAAAAGCTATTTTAACCAGACCAAACAGACCCTAAATAAGCAGAATAAAAACATAAAATGTAAAGTAAACATTCCAACAATAATGATGATAAAAATGAAGTAGACATAGGTAGATATAAAATGTTGACCCAGTGGGACAAAAAAGCATATAAATCATATTCAGAACAGAATAGCATTATAATACTATCTACATATTTTAAGGATTTAACATCTAGGATGAAGCACTAAAAAATATAATTTCTGATTTTCAAGTTATAAAACTCGATTAACCTGGATGGGAAGAGTAACCAAGCCACCACAACATACACCGGCAAAAAAACAGTCTGGAGATATTCCCTGCTTTGAGATAGACATATGATAACCATGAGGATTGCTGGCATAAACCATCAATAAATGTAACTAGTAGTTTCAGTTGCATAACAGAGTGTAATAGTGCAAAGTACACAGGTAAACCTTCATGTAAAGAATTATCAATGTGCATCCCAGAACATAAAAACTGTACCAATCATCAATTACAAATGATGCTCAAGGTTAGGAAATCTAGTTAACCATGAACAAGCTCAATGGAGCTTACAAACACACCCTTTTTTATTTGTAAAGCAATATTGATGGTCATCATAAATGTCATATTATGATGATGCAAAGCAATATTGATGGTCATCATAAATGTCATAAATGTCATATTATGATGGAGCTTACAAGCATACCCTTTTTTATTTGTAAGCTCAATGGAGCTTGCAACATACCCTTTTTTATTTGTAAAGCAATATTGATGGTCATCATAAATGTCATATTATGTTGTTTTACTTATACAGTGAGGTTTCACACCAGTACAAATGCAACAAGAGATAATCATAAAAAAAATAAAAAAAAAAACATGATTAAATGGATGAGGTTTGTATGCCTCAATTCAACTCGACCTTAATCCCAACTATTTGAAATCTGTTAACATGAATTGAGAGTGTCATGTTCTGTTTCACATTGTAATCATATCTTACCACTTCAGTTCAGCCCACATTTTCTTGGTCTTCCACTTGCTCCTAGGGGTGTTAACGGGTCAGGTTGGGTCGGCTTAAGACATTTTGTTCAACTGACTCGACCTGGTCGGGTTACTAAAGCAGCAAACCAAAACCGACCGACCAAGAAGCAAAACCGACCCAAACATGAAGGGTTGGTTTATCGGTTTAATTGGTCGGTTTATCAATGCAACTTGGTCCAATGCATTCCAGAACTATTTGGTTTTTGGCCCATTACACACCATGATTAAGGCTGCATTTGCCATTTGGCATTCATAGATGCTCAAAAGACCAATGGGCTTGTGATGGGCTTGTGATGCAATCTGAAATCTGAATGATTCAGCGATCCAATCTGATATTCAGAACGTTGGATGGATAATGGATTTAACTAACCCTGAACCTGGAGAGGCTGCCCTAGCTAGCTTCTACTTTGTCCTCCTCTTTAGTGCACAACCCCTAGTTGTCCCATTCAGACTTCATAATTGAGGGCATGAAGGCTCCCACCAATGTGGGGTCTGAGGAGGGACAGATGTACACAGCCTTACCCCTGCACATACAGAGAAGCTGTTTCCAAAACAGAAAATATAATATCTTCAACTAAATGGTGCGGTTCCTAAAAAAATCCACAACTCCTCTCCTCCCAGACTGAAAGGAATTCTAGGATAATTTGCAAAGAAGAAGACCTTTTCTTTTTATATCCCCAAACTGGTGCATTCTCCGTAAAGGCCAAATAAGTATCACTCTTCTCTCCATTTGTTGCAGGCATTTGGGAGTGGTTTCTCTCTGTTTGGGAGCAGGTGAATTTGCCAATGAAGATAAACATGTTGTTTGATCTGACCACGTTCTCATGGCCTAAGAGAAGAGGAAGAATTATATGAAGATGTACAAGGGCAAGCCTTTTTTTATGAGAAAGATAACTTATATTCAGAAAAAGGAGGTGTACATAAGAGATGTACAAAGGGCAACAATATTATGGACCATTTGGAAAGAAAGGAATGCAAGAGTTTTTATTGAGAAGGAAAGAAGCAGGGAGGCAGTGAAGGAATGTGTTATGACTAGCGCAATACAATGGTTTAAAACAATGGACATTTTCTCACAATTTCCTTTAATGATATTTGGAGGAATTGGAGTGAGGTGGTAAAATGTTCCTCTAAAACTATTGATCCTGTTTGCTTGGACCCTTCTCTAGATACCTGTATTTGGAAGCCTTTGCCCTCGGGATCCTTTTATTGTGCTTCTTTCTTTGCTTCCTTGTGCTCCTCTCCACTGCCTCAACCTTTTCATAACAAGGAAGTTTGGTCCAAACCTGTCCCTCCAAAAGTGGGAGCCCTTTGTTGGGAAGTCTCCCTTGGAAAAATCAACACTTTGGATGTTTTGCAAAAAAGAAAGTTTTTGTATCTCTCCTAACTGGTGTACCCTATGCAAAGCAAATGAAGAAAGTTTCTACCATAGACTAATCACTTGCCCTTTTGTTGTAGGCCTTTGGGAAAATCTTTTTGATCTTTTTGGGTGCAGGTGGACAGAACCGGAGCAGATTTGCAATCTTTTTGACCCTACAACTTTCAGGTGGCCAAAGAGAAGAGGAAGAGTTTTGTGGAGGTGTGCTAGAGCTGCTTTGGTGTGGACTGTGTGGGAGGAACGAAAGCTAGAGTCTTTAATGACAAGGAGAGGAATCAGACGTGTGTTAGAAAGTATTTTATGTAGGGCCATAAGCTGGGTAAAATCCTTGGACCTATTCTCATCCTACTCTTTTGATGATATAAGTAGGAATTGGGAACAACTAGCCAAAAGTTCTGCAGTCGGAAGCAAGTCTTTGGTGGACTCAAAGCCTCCTGATGTAGGCTTCATTAAATTAAATTTTGATGGCAGTAGTTTGGGCAACCTGGGGCCATCTAGAATAGGGGGAATCTTTAGAAATGCCGAGGGCCCGATTGTAGCTCTATTTTCTGGTCCTATAGGGATGGGAGATTCAGTCAATGCAGAACTCCAAGCTGTGATACAAGGAGCAGAAATTGCAAAAGAGTTGGCAGTGGAGCATTTAATGATTGAAGTGACTCCAAATTGGTTATTGGATGGCTAAAAGAACCAGAGATGGCAGCCTGGCCTTACAGGGGGGCTTTGAGAAGATTTAAGTGGCTAACATCAAATATCTCAGTCAAGGTTCAATGGAAAAGAAGATCAGCAAATGGGCTGGCAGATTTCCTAGCCAAACAAGGAGTACATAGGAATCAGCTCTTTTGGGCTCAATTGTAAGCTTTATGATGTAGCTTGGAGGCTGCACCTCGCGCCTCTTTGTGGGGAGTTGTAAGATGAATACTGTGTTTTTATTCTAATTAATAAAATTATCATTATCTATCAAAAAAAAATGTTCCTCTAAAAAGAAACTGGTAAATTTGACTTGGTCACCTCCCACTTTAGAATACATCATATTGAACTTTGATGGGAGTAGCCATGACAATCCAAGTCTATCAGGGGGAGTATGCAGAGATAAAAATGGTAATGTTGCTTCTTTGTTTCTGGGACCAATGGGAGTGGGGGAATCCATCAGGCATCCAAGTCAAGAAGTTGGTGGTGGGATGGTTAGAGAAACCGCAGATTGTCATATGGGCTTTATAGAGATGAAACGAAGATGTTCAAATGGCTAACCAGCACCATGACCTTGAAGATACAATGGATTAGAAGATAGATTAATGGGATGACAAATACATCGGCCAAGCAAGGGATTAATAAGGAGCATTTGTATTTGGCTCGGTTGTAGCTTAGTCTTTGTGTTTGAATTTTTTGGGTGAGGCCGTGAGGGTGCACCTTGCACCTCTATATATATAAGGGATGCTTGTATCCTGGTACTGATTATATATATTGTTGTTTTATCAATAAAATTTGTTAAGTCACTTATCAAAAAAAAAAAAATCCTCTCCTCCCAAATCCTCATGAGGCAGCAAAAGCATGCACATCCACATAATCATTTACTATTGTACAAGTTGAAAGCTTGGAATTGGAAGAGTTACTAGATGAAAGACCATAAATCTTTTTTATTAATAAATAAGCATATCTTAAAGATAAATCATAAAAGTTGTATATAAAGGAAGAAGAGATTGAGGAAAAGAGAGAAAAAAAATAAAGAAACAAAGCAAAGAGAAGAGGAGAAAGGAGTCTGCACCAGGAAAAAAAAAAAACTTTTTCCTGGACCTGGTTATACAAAAACCTCTACACAAAAAAGGAGGCCAGTGAAATACAAGAACTAGAAGAAATCCTCCCTCAAAACTATACAGTTTCCAAATAAAGAACCAATACTAAAACCACTGGAACCAATTTAAAGCAATTGTCCACCTACAATGCATCTAGAGCCTGAATCCTGATGCAACAAAAGCACTAGGGAGTTCCTAGAGCTTGATGCACAACAGCACAAGGCACAACAGCACAAGGCACATACTTCAACAAAGTTTTTGTGTAGTATCCTTTTCTGATCCATGCAGTATCCTACGTTATATATATCATGTCCAAGACATAATCATGTATAGATATCAGGGTACCATAGTTGCCGATGCAAATCCATACTGGGGGAATTGAGTGATCTGGATGGTTTTGAACTGTTTTCTTATTAGCACTGCATTGTATTTGAGGAGCCCGATAGCCTGGTAATGCATATCCTATGTATTTTCTGGTTCTATGGAGCACCTTGCTCCCTAATCACTTATTAATTAAGCATTTGTAAAAATGTCAAAGAACCATTGATATCATCATCATCATCAAAGCCTTGTCCCAACAATATGGGGTCAGATAGACAGCTATATGAATCCTATTTCATCATTCTGTTCTGTTTAGTACTATATCTATTGCTAAATTATGGGAGTTTAAATCATTTCTTATTACTTCCATCCGAGTCCTTTTCGATCTGCCCCTAGCTCTTCTAGCCCCTTCAACTTGTAACAGGTGACATGCCTACGAAAATAGGGAGAATTATGTGGAGATGTGCTCGTGCTGCCTTGACTTGGACTCTTTGGGAAGAGAGGAATCTCAGAATTTTTCAAGATAAGGAAAGGAACAGCCAAGATTTGAAAGACTATGTGTTAAACAGGGCAATACATTGGCTGAAGACCTTG